GGGAGAATTAATAGTGACTGTGGCTATGCACAAAGCAATACACCAATTCAGTGCAATCCCCACCGAAATCCCAATGTCCTTCTTCACAAAAAAATGAAAAAAAAACTCACAAATTTCATGTGTAATCCCAAAGATCCTTGGTAGTCAAAATCTCAAACATAAAAAACAGTGTTGGAGGTATAATCATACCTTTTAAGTAATATTATAGAGCCATAGTAATAAAGGCAATATAATACATGCATTAAAATGGGCATATAGGGACAGAATAGAGGATTCAGAAATAAACCCAAGTGGGTATGGCCAGATGACTCTTTTTACAAAGATGCCAAAAATATTGATTGTAGAAAAGACGTCTTCAACAAATGGTGCTGAGAAAACTGTATGTTCATATAATGAAGGGTAAAATATTAAATTAAGAGACTGACCAGAGAATAAAGAAAAATGTTTACGGACTATAGATGTGATAGAGGATTAATATCTACAATATACAAAGAATTCCAAAAATCAAACACCAAAACAAAAACAATAATAATAAATAATAAACTGGCTAATGAAAAGAAAACCAGTCCTTGAATAAGGAAGTACATATTGTCAAGAAACTGGGCTTACAAGTAATCCAATTTAAAAATGAGGTACAGAGTTAAACAGAGAATCCTCAACAGAGAAATATCAAATGACAGAAAAACACTTAAAGAAATGCTCAACGGTATGTGTGTCAGGAGTGGGATTTGAACCCACGCCTAGAGGGGAGATCAGAACCCTCATAATGAGGAAGCTGCTCTTGAGTCAGGTGCCTTAGATCACTCAGCCACCTTCACACAATGGAACACTACTCAGCAATTAAAAAGAAGTAAAGCATGAAATTTGCAGGCAAATGGTGGGAACTAGAAAAGATCATCCTGAGTGAGGTGTCCCAGAAGCAGAAAAACACACATGGTATATACTCACTTATAAGTGGATATTAGACATATAATATAGGATAATCATACTAAAATATGTACACCTAAAGAAGCTAAGCAAGAAGGAGGACCCTAGGTAAGATGCTCAATCCTCATTCAGAAAGGCAAACGGGATGGACATCAAAGAAGGTAAAAACAAGGAACAAGACAGGAGCTTACCACAGAGGGCCTCTGAAAGACTCTACCCAGCCGGGTATTAAAGCAGATGCTGAGACTCATAGCCAAACTTTGGGTAAAGTGCAGGGAATCTTATGAAAGAAGGGGGAGATAGAAAGACCTGGAAGGGTCTGGAGCTCCACAAGGAGAACAACAGAACCAAAAAGTCTGGACACAGGGATCTTTTCTGAGACTGATACTCCAACCAAGGACCATTCATAGAGATAACCTAGAACCCCTGTACAAATGTAGCCCATTGCAGCTCAGTCACCAAATGGGCTTCCTAGTAAGGGTAACAGGGGCTGTCTCTAACATAAACTCAGTAGCTAGCTCTTTGATCACCTCCCCCTGAAGGGGTGGGGGGAGCAGCCTTACCAGGGCAAAGAGGAAAGCTATGAAAGACAGTACTGATGAGACCTGATAGGCTAGGGTCAGATGGAAGGAAAGGAGGACCTCCCCTATCAGTGGACTGGAGAAGGGGCATGGGAGGAAATGAGGGAGGGAGGGTGGGATTGGGAGGAGACAAGGGAGGGGGCTACAGCTGGGATACAAAGTGAATAAATTATAATAATAAAAAATTATATTTAAAAAATGCTCAATGCCCTTAGTCATCAGGGAAATGCAAATCAAAAGGACCCTAAGATTCCACTTTATACCCATCATAATGGTAAAGATCAAAAACTCAAGTGACAACACATGCTAGAGAGGTTGTGGAGAAAGAAGAATTCTCCTCCATTGCTGGTGGGAATGTAAACTTGTACAACCACTTTGGAAATCAATCCGGCTCTTTCTCAGAAAATTAGGAACAGTGCTACCTCAAGATCCAGCTATACCACTCCTGGACAGATATCTGAAAGATGCTCAACCATACAACAAGGGCATTTGCTCAACCATGTTCATAGAAGCTTCATTCATAATAGCCAGAATCTGGAAACAATCTACATGTCCCTCAACCGAGGAATGGGTAAAGAAATTGTGGTACATTTACCCAATGGAGTATTACTCAGCAATTAAAAACAAGGAAATCATGAAATTTGTAGACAAATGGATAGAACTGGAAAAGATCATCTTGAGTGAAGTTTCCCAGAAGCAGAAAGACACACATGATAGTCACTTATAAGTGGATATTTGCCATGTAATATAAGGTAGACACATTAGAATCTATAGTCCTAAAGAAGCAAAACAATAAGGAGTATCCTAGGGAAGGTGCTTAATTCTCATTCAGAAGGGCAAACAGAATAGAGATTGGAAGTAGGAGAAGACAGGGAACAGGACAGAAGCCTACCACAGAGGGCCTCTGAAAGAGTCTACCCAGCAGGGTATAGAAGCAGATGCAGAGACTCATAGACAAACTTTGGGCAGAGTACAGGGAATCTTGTGCAAGAAGGAGGAGATAGAAAGATCTGCAGAGGACAGGAGATCCACAAGGAGACCAACAGAAACAAAAAATGTGGGCCCAGGGGGTCCTGCAGAGGCTGATAAATCAACCAAGGACCATACATGGAGAAGACTTAGACCCCTTCTCAGATGTAGCCCATGGGCAGCTCAGTCTCCATGAAGGTTTCCTAGTAAGGGGAACAGGGGCAATCACTGGCATGAACTTGGTTGCCTGCTCGTTGATCACCTCCCCCTGGCGAGGTGGCATTACTAAGACACAGAGAAAGAGGATCCAGTCCTGATGAGACCTGATAAGCTAGGGTCAGATAGAAGGGAGGAGGACCTCCCGTATCAGAGGACTAAGGAAGGGACATGGGGAGGAAGAAGGAGGGAGGGTAGGGCCATAAGGAGATGAGGGAGGGTGCTACAGCAGGAATACAAAGTGAATAAATTGTAATAAATAATAATAATAATAATAAAGAAAAAATGGTTTTTCCTTTTTTATTTTTATTACTGTTTATTCACTTTGTTCCCCCCTGTAGCTCCCTCCCTTCTCCCCTCCCAATCTCACCCTCCCTCCCCCTTCTCCACCCATGTCCCTCCCCAAGTCCACTGATGGGGGAGGGCCTTCTCCCCTTCCTTCTGATCCTAGTCTATTAGGCCTCATCAGGAGTGGCTGAATTGTCTTCCTCTGTGGCCTGGTAAGGCTGCTCCCCCCCTTAGGGGGAGGTGATCAAAGAGCAGGCCAATCAGTTCATCTCAGAGACAGTCTCTGTTCCCATTACCATGGAACCCACTTAGACACTGAGCTGCCATGGGCTACATCTGTGCAGGGGTTCTAGGTTATCTCCATGAATGGTCCTTGGTTGGAGTATCAGTCTCAGAAAAGATCCCTGTGCCCAGACATTCTGGTTCTGTTGTTCTCCTTGTGGAGCTCCAGACCCTTCCAGGTCTTTCTATTTCCCCCTTCTTTCATAAGATTCCCTGCATTCTGCCCAAAGTTCAGCTATGAGTCTCAGCATCTGCTTTGATACCCTGCATTGTAGAGTCTTTCAGAGGCCCTCTGTGGTAGGCTCCTGTCCTGTTCCCTGTTTTCTCCCTCTTCTGATGTCCATCCTCTTTGCCTTTCTGAATGGGGATTGAGCATCTTAGCCAGAGTCCTTCTTCTTAGGAAGTCATGAAGTTTTCAGGCAAATGTTGGAAATTGGAAAAGATCATCATGAGTGGGTATCCCAGAAGCAGAAAGACACACAGGGTATATACTCACTCATGAGTGGATATTAGATATATAATATAGGATAAACATACTAAAATCTGTACACCTAAAGAAAAATGTTTAAAAAGAAACTGGTCCAAAATCACTGACCCTCAGAAAAATGCAAACGCAAGAGCCATTGAGATTACACCACACTCATTTACAATGGCAGCAATCAAGAGAACAAATAGCAAATATTGTGAAGGACGCAGACTGTGAGTAATCTTTATACATTGCTCACAGAATGTAATCTACTCTAGACATGCAGGAAACAATATGGAATTTCCTCACAAAACTAGAGCTTTCATAAGGCCTACATATATCACCTTGAAATCTGAGTCAACATATCACAGAGATACTTTCACATCAGTGCTTACTAATCACCCCTTATTAACAATGGCAAAAGTGTAGAACCAACCTAGATGTCCAACAATAGAGGAATGGATTAAGAAAATATGGTATATATACGCAATTGGATATTTTTTTTACCTGCAAAGAATGCCATTTGCACAAAATTGGAGATTTTGTAATTGGAGATTACTGTAATAAGCAGATTAAACCAGTCTCAGACAGAAAAGCATTGTATGTTTTCTCTCAGTTACGGGTCTTGGACTTTCTACATATCATGGAAGTATAAACGAACTGGGGAATGAAGAAAATTAGTGCAAGGTGTGGAAAAAATATAGCAAGGCATGAATAGGAGTACAATTAGGGTATATTATATATCTGTATGAAAATGGCCTTATGTAAGTCTGTTTAGTAAAATATTAAAAATAAAAAGTATAATGAAGCCCAGGATGAAGAAGATATGATATATGGTGGAGTCCATGAGAGAGGGGGTGGGAGACAGCGAGAGAGTGAGTGAGCAAGCAAGTGAGCAAGAGAGAAAGAGAGATGGGCACTGGGTGGCAAGACACTCTGTGTCTCCTCATTTGTAAATGAGGATAAAGTCAGAAACGTTAAGAAGACTTTCACAAAATCCACACAACTAAGAACTATTCAAAAAACAAAAGAATTTAAGAGCCATTGCAGTGATTGTTCATGGAGATGTTTAAGAACTAAGAAAATCCGTCTGCCAAGCGTGCTGGGTGGAAAAAAAAACCTGTGTTCTGACGGCATCTTTGAATGCTCTCAGATCTGCGTATGGTCACAAGTGTTAGTATTCATATCCTTTGCTCTTTTTCTTTGCTGCTCCTAACTGTGCTGTTGGTTGATGGGTTTCCCCGCTTCTCCTATTTCCTTCTTCACCGCAGGTGAAGTGTCATCTGAAAACTTCCTGGATTATAAGAACCGTGGAGTCAATGGTTCTCACAGAGGCCAGATCGTTTGGAAGATTGATGCCAGCTCTTACTTTGTGGAATGTGAGTACTTTCACCCTTCCCTCGGTCCAGCAGACATGTGTGGAGCAGAATTCAGCTATAACCTCTTTGTAATGCTTTTAAAAAATGCTTAGAAATGTGCCTCCACTTAGGCAAATGAAGAGGCAAGTTAATCGACAGCCTTAAAATGATTTTCAGTAGATATCTCTATGATGGTTGCAACACAGCCATGCAAATTCACCCAGGCCATTCTTTCAATAGCAGGAAAGGTCTTGGTTCATGTTTCAGGCCTCTTGACTCAGGACCCATTAGTGTATATCCTTTAGGTTTTCATGCCTTGGCTAGATTAAGTGATCTCTGACTTCATTATGGATGGGACTAGATCTCCTCAACATGTGTCCTGCCTTTTAGTTTTGCCTTTGTTTTACTTGCACTCCTCAAGGCTCACTGTCCACGGCACTAGAGTGTTGATGATATTTCACATTTGCCCCCTTGCTTCAGGCTCTTGCTACAATTGTACAAGATTCAGACTCCATATCACTAATATCAAGCAATTCCTTTGATCATTTATCTACTGAAATTTATGAATATATAAACTTGGTACTGTATCTTACTGCTACATTTTCTAAATTTTCTACCTGTCCTTAGGAGTAAATCATTTCCAGAGTTGTGGTAGGATTGTTTCCATACGTTCCCCACATAAATGTATTTTTCTATATGGGTATCACATTTGGCAACTCAAAAGGAAAAAAAAAATGTGCAAACTAATTTTGTCCACACACCCTTTTCTTTTGCATGGAGAGTGGATCTGTCCCTGTGTTCTTCAGAAGCAAGTTGATTCACCAGGCCATATTATCTAGAGAACTTGCCGATACTAGGCAGTGTCAAAGGCACAGGTGGTTATCTGATAGTCCTGCTGAGAACAGCAACTTCCAAATCTCATGAGTAAGGATGAGACAGCCGCCTTGCCTAATGAGAACTGCTTCCTACCCCACCCAACCATGGCATCCAGTGTCATGCCATGACCTTAATCCTTCATCAAGTTAAAGGCAAGTACAGCATGGAAATTCTTTTTTTATACTTTATGGCACTGAAGAAGGCATTCTTTCATTCATGTAAGCAAATACGGCAAAAAATGGGATAGACTATAATTCTAGCTGCTTAATCCTCAGCTGCTTTCCTATCCTCCCCTGCAGCCTTGTCTTTGTCATGCCAATTCATCCTCTGACAAACAGCATCACTTGTCAAGAGGAACAGTGCTGATTGATGTGTAAAGACAACCTAGCAGAAGCCTCTACATTTTCAGGAAGAAGCAAAAGAAAAGGCACTCGCATTAATAGTTACTGTCTAACATCATCACTGATTTCAAGCCAGTCTGCATTAGAAGTCTGGTAGTTTCCCCTTTCATATTGTAGATCTATTTCTTTACTGCAAGTGGTAAATAACTGAGAAATAGATATTAAAAAAAAAAACTGAAGGTCAAAGTATAGTAGCAGTTCTGAATGACAGAGGCAAAGATACAGCTAGTAATTTTGTAAAACATTTTTCTTTAAATTTGTCTAGTGTGGGGAGGCATTATATATGTAAATTCTTTCCTAATTTCATGGGATGCATTTTGATTATAATCATCCCTCCCCCAATGAATCTAAGATCCTATTTCATGCCTCCTACCACCTACTCCATAACAACCAACTTTTTGCCATCTTAAAAAAAAATAAAAATAAAAATAAAGAACAATTAATGCTGCCTGTACACTTTCGGGTGAGTGGCCATCTACTGGGGCAAAGTTGACCTAATAGGGGACACATCCTTAAAAAATAAGATCCCTTCTCTTCAATGCTAGGATTGTTTTATAGGTAAAAGTAAGAGCTAGTGTGAATAAGACAGCAAACGTGAGTGCTTATTAAAAATTTTAATTCCCAATTTTTAAACTTAATTGAATATTTTCCTGACTCTAATTCTACTACTGTTACTGTGTCCTGGAATCTCCTATACTACATAGTCCTGCTAATACCTCAAGTTTAAAAAGGAGAAAAAAAAATATCTTCTCTTTTAAGTGATGCTTCACTGAATCCAATTTGAAGTAAATAAATGCTCCCAAATAAAAATTACATTTTCAAAATATATACTTACAGAGGAGTCTTTAATTTTACTCTTAATTTGTGACTAAGCAGGTCATCCCTAATCAAATTTGAAAGCAAGCGTGCCAGGTAAGAGTAAGCCCGCCTATCTCACCACTGCCATTAAGATAGCTTGCTGGTCTCTTTCTCTAGAAGACCTGGAATACAACCTTTCATTAACTCTTTAGACACAAATAGGACAACCCCAACCTGCTGTCTACGTCATCATAGCGATCACAAAGAAGGCTGTTGATGGCCACATCACATGTGTGTTTTATACACGATATAAATACACATACACATGTATGTCTTATTCTACTATAAAAAAAGAATGAAATGACTGTGAGAGAACCGCTCTGTATTTAGAAGATGTCTTAAATTTAGAAAATTTAGAATATTTAGAAAGTATTTAGAATTATTATTATCATTATTATTAGAAAGACAAAGACAGAATTAATGTAGGTCTCTGACAAAGTATCTGAAAGGTACCTCACAATCCTTCAATGTTTTTCTGCTTACGGGCTTTGCTAGAACAACAATTATCAACTATGGAAGTTTCCTTGCCCGTGGACAGCTGCAAAAGTCACGTAATAGTAAGCTATGGGAATCTCAGTTTTAATATTTTGTTCTCTATAAAGAATTGGGAGCTACAGGGACATTGGACCTGTTCCTGGATTCATAATAAGTTGGTCGTGTCACGGGAAGCCACGCTCTGCCTGATGGCTGGGACATGTTCTGAGGAATGTGTTGCTGATCGACTCCATCAAGTGAATTGTGTTGATTTCACTTACATAAGTAAAAATGGCTACAGCGTTTTTAGGTGGGGTCACTTGGGAGCATCATTATATATGCCGTCTGCCATTGGCCTATATCATATATATGCAGAACACTGGCTCCTCAGCCACTTTTTTAGAGTATGATGTTGCATCACACTGGAAATATGAAAATAAACCATACTAACACTTTGCTAACAAAGCTGAGTAACAAATTAAACAGAGCAGTTAAGTGTAGGCAGAGTAGAAATAAAGGATCATGCAAAATTTTTAGTGAAATGATTTTTAAAATCCATAAAACTAATCGTTTACATATTGTTATTTTTAGACATTTATTAGTGGATTTCCTTCATATCTTACACCTAAACTACAATACAAATTTAGGTCAAGAAAAAGGAAGATCCATGAATAATCAAGCTTCTAAATTTTGAAACATATTATTAAAATACATGTTTGGGCGAGAAATACAAACGTTGCCATCAGTTTTCTTTTCAAAGAAAGGGTATCATGGTTTGAAGGGATAAGCCCTCGTCTGCCTTGCAAACTTGCATCAGTTTGTAATTTTCCCCCAACAACGATTTGCTCAGAGCCACCGAAGTAAGTTTTTCCTTGAGTGAAAAGCTATTGGTACTTCTGCACATCCCTGCTAGTCCCTTTTATATGACTTAGCTTGAAGTTTTCCCCCAGCATGCTCATCTTCCTGGCGTCCACAGACGGTGCAGCTCATAGGGAACAGCACTGCTAGGCGAAGAGTTAGCGGCAAAACTCTTGCTGCTTTATCCGGAGCTCTCTGTGATCGCTAGCCTGTAAGAAACCCACCTCTTGGACCCGCCTGTGTCGGCCTAATGCGGTGCAATTTGCAAATATCTTGGATAATATTATGGAACTGGGCTATTAAACGGTCCCCCGAAAGCTAGAAAACACAATTAATGGAAGTATTAGATGCCTGCAGGAAAAGAATAACGCAGGGTGGAAAAAGCTCATGAGCAACCAGGCATTACTCGGGTCATCAGAAATCTTAACAAAGGCAATTTAATGGGTTTTTAGAAACTCAAAGAGCTAATTAAAATTTGCTGGAAAATGTTTGATCTCACTAGTAATCAAGTAGACGAAATGATAATGATAATGCATTTCTATTTTAAGTTTATTTTTAATAATGTCCAACTAATAGCAATCATTGAGGTTCTGGAAGGTGGTGAGAACCTAACATTATGTGTTTCTTGAAGTATAAAGAGCTGTTTGGAAAGTAATGTGGCCACAAGAGGAGAGAGTACAAGAACTACTCACGTTTTCTAGCCAGTGGGAGAATAAGGCAGTGACCGTATTTCCTACACCAAGGAAGCTTTCTCTGTCAGTTAGGTTTAAGTGTGATTATAAGCTGGAAAAATGTCAAAAAGGCAGTAGCAAGCAACATACATATTATCTGCAAAGAAAACTGTAAATGTGTGGCTAGCTAGACATTACCATCCAATGTAAACCTGAGATTCTATTATTAAGTATGAAAAGGAAAACATGTGTTGGGCAGGTAGCTAGCAATTTTTATTACATTACACTTTTGAACTTGAATGAATGTTTGCTAAAGGTTTTCTGTTTTCAAAAATAATGCCAACCGTAGGGGAATGTTTATAAAACATAAAGCTGTGCAGCTTTACAAATTAGAGACCCCTAAAATAAAATTAATGTTTATTTAAATTAATCTATATTAGTTTATTTATGTTTTGTTATTTATTATTTTTTATTGATTTATCATTCTTATTCCTTATATATTTATAAATACAGGATATAAATATATTGTTTATACAAATATAATATACTATATAAAATTACTTAAATGAATAAAATAATTTAATTAATTAAAAGGCACAACCTGCTGAGAATAAAAACACATTATATGAAACAGTGAGTTGCAACACTAGTCACCATCAGCCTAACTAAGGGAGGTTGCTTGAAGATTTTTTTTTTCTACCCAAAAAATCAATGGTCAGAAAGCAATGGAGTCACATCACAGTTTGGTCCTTATATGCTTAAGTAATATCCATTTCATACCCGGGTGTAGAAATGCTAAAGCCTGCCATTTTTCATGACATAGTTTTAGAAAGACAGACTGGTCCAGGAGGCCATATCTAAAGCATCCTTGGTAAGTGTTACACACTGGCTGGTGAGAGGAATCGGTTTGCAGTTGCTGGAGATGTCCCCCTGGGCTATGGCTGTTTCTTCCTAGATTATTTCAGTGACTCAACTTTGTTTCACTTTTGTCTTCCAGCTGAAACTAAGATCTGCTTCAAATACTACCACGGAGTAAGCGGAGCCCTACGAGCTACAACCCCCAGTGTCACCGTCAAAAACTCAGCAGCTCCTGTAAGTCTCTCTTCTTCCTCCTGCTCAGACCCAACTCACACAGCTCTTTGCTTTCCTGTTTTCTTCATGTGTGTATGCACACACTTATACACGTGCACATAGCTGCACTTATATCTACACGTATATGGAGATAGGTCGATAGATGAATTAAGAACGCACATGATGGACACACACCTCAGACTAGTGACCAGGAATGACACCAAAAGCTGTCCTTTTCAGAGAACAAGCCACCAGAATGTTAGAAAAATGCAAGCATCTGCATTTCCCTTAGCAAAATGTTCCCATGGGATATACTTAGTAGCAGTGTGTGAAGCTTTCTTTAAGAAACATGTTTATAATGATCTTGGATGCTTATTTTTTATGTTTTAATTTATTTTTAGACTTGAATTAACTAGAAAGTATGTCTCATCTTAGTATGTATGTAAGTATGTACATCTTAGCTCTATGAAATGATAGACCTAGAAAAGATAAAATCTCACTCACCCAAGCCACGCCGCTAGCAAGTTCCAGATCCAGGGTTCAGCTTTGTTTTGCTTTTTGTGTGTGTGTGTGTTTTTTTTGTTTTGTTTTGTTTTTGGTTTTTTTTTTTTTTTGGCATTGTCGTTATACATTTTTCTGTAATGTCTAACTTTATTTTTTAGAACTGGGTTTCATCTAATTCCAATGAATTTATTTATCAAGTATGATTAATAAACAATATGATACATTTTTAAGTTATAACATACAGTAAAAAAAAAAAAAACAAGTTTCTTAATGTTTTTGGGTTGGGTTGGGTTGGGTTGGGTTTTGGAGTTTTGTTTGTTTGTTTGTTTGTTTGGTTGGTTGGTTGTTAGGTTGAAGATTTTTTTTTGGTTTTTCAAGACAGGGTTTCTCTCTGAGTCCTGGCTGTCCTGGAACTCACTCTGTAGACTAGGCTGGCTTCGAAATTACAGCGCTCTGCCTGGCTCTGCCTCCTGGGCGCTGGCATTAAAGGTGTGCACTGTCGCCACCTGACTCAAGTTTCTTGGTATTTCTAAATTCCAAGTATGTTGTTTGTTGAGATTCAAGGGTAGTAGATCAAATATCAGAAAATTTCAAAGTTGTTACTGTTTTTAAAATATTTTTAATAATCTTTAACTTTATTATTTAGATAGCTGCAATTCATGTTTAAAGAATCAAGTATGTTGAGTTTATTAGTGCTTACAAAAAGCGTTAGCTTATAGGAGTATTAAACAATGAAAGGTATAATTTAAAATGCAGATCTCCCAGTAAGTTTTGTTATGGAATCCCATTTGGAAATTGACAATCAAGTCCCTTCTAATATTTCTTTGTTTTGTTTATTTTTATCCATCGAAATGACATTTTTCTTGTAACCAAATACATTTGTTAACTGCTGTCATGTTTTGACATTGACCCTTGTGTTAGAGGCAAAGTCGCAAATGGTTAAAGATATCAGCAGCTTGGAACAAAGTCCAAGTGATTTGTGTTTTACTGCTGGCTTCATCTATATGATTTTAAGTAGATAACTTAAAAGTTTTTGATCCTGTGTTCTCATCTGTGAAATGGCAGAAAATATATATAATATTATTTCATCAGACTGTTGTAAAAATTTAAAAAAAAATTATGGAAAGCCTCAGTGTGGTGCCTGGAACATATTTTCTAAAAAGAGCATTCAAGAATTGTTTTTCTAATTGCTTAACAATAACTATTATTGTAAGCATATTTTCTCAGACGAACTCTGAACAAAAAGGGTGAAAGCCAGAGCTGCACAGCAGTGTTCCTATAAACCCAGCTTCGGGGGGGTAGGATCAATAGGGTAAGGTTAGTGTGGGCAGCATAGCAGGAGAACTTGCATCAAAGATATCAAAAGAAAACAAACGCATTCCACTCCTCTGGGTTGTTATTCTCGTTGTATAAACAGCCACATACTTAACTGCATGCTGCTGGGTCACTTCTTCCTTACAAAGTGTTACTAGTTACTATCTAAGATACAGAGCACATAACAAAGACAGCACCTAGAAGAGCCGTTGTGTATGTGGTTAAATTTCAAAGTCGGAATTACTGTACTAAATGGAGTTATGTTTTCAGAATCATGCTGATATTACAATATATATCCATATGTTTGCCTTTGAGGCAACTGTGGTTCTCTACCAATTTTCACTTTGTGTACCTCCTTCTATTCGTCTGTCTTTCATTATTCAGTCCGGAGTAAACCATAGATCCTCATATGCCTGTCTAGCAAGGATGTGGACCTCCAGATAATTATAACTTTTGTATTATATCATATGTATCTTAAAGTCCCAATGACTTCCTTTCTCGTTGGGTGCACATTGGTTAGAGTGTAATCTCTGGCCATTACATGTCCTTTCTAAATGAAGGTCAGACAGCTTCTCAGACAAGTCTCATTGACCTGTGGGTCCTGGCTGACCAAGGAGGACAAGGACCAAAACATTCCATGTCCTCTTTTATCCTTTTACCCTTTTGGGTGGAAGGTTTTCAAGCTTTGTTGACCACACAGGACAGCTTTGTATTTTTAATTTGACAAAGCTTAGACAAAACAACTCGAACAGTTTTAAATAAGTCTTGGTTTTATTATGACTCAATTTTCTCAAGTGAGAGTTCAACAAAGTTAGCAAAAATAACTTAAGTAAATACCTGGATTAGACATACAAAAACAACAACATTTTAAGTCAACGTTTGTGACCATTAATAAATCAGTATAACCTTAGGGATTCTAATAAACTTTAATTATTAAACTTTTATTGTCCTTAAGTCCTATCATCTTTAAACCTGTCCTTAAGTTCTATCATCTTTAAACCTTATATAACTTATTTAGACCTTTCTGACTTGGATTTAAGCATTTCTGATTTTGTTTTCATTGTGTGTGTGTGTTTGGGTGTATATATATATATATATATACACATATATTCATCTTTAGGAAAATACTTATTTTATCATAAAAGGCCACCTTTTTCTAAAATATTTTACAACTCCCTCATCCATTTTTTTTTGTACATTTATATATTTTAATGGCTCCTAAATGGGCTAGCCCACCCTGAATGAAAGCCATTTTATCTCAGAGATGGCCAGAATTAGCTTAACATCATAATTTTCTGAATACTCTTTTGAACATTAAAAAAAAAATTATATGTTACTCTGCTTACCACCCATTTTCTCCTACTAAAAGACAACACTCACATACAAGAAAAAGGAGAGATTACATTCATTCCATTCTTCTGTCAAGTTAGTCGGTATGCAGCATTGTCCTACTCAGTGTTCTGTTGCTGTGAAGAGACACCATGTCTTCAGAAACTCTTATAAAAGAAAGCATTTTATTGGGTTTATTTACATTCAGAGGTTTAGTCCATTATGGTCATATCAGGAATCATGGCAGCACTCAGGCAGACATGTTGCTGGAAAAATAGCTAGAGTTCTACACCTGGATTGGCAGGCAGCAGGAAGAGAGAAACACTGGGCCTGGCTTGAGCATTTGAAACTCCAAAATCCACCCCCAGTGACACACTTCCTCCAACCATTCCACATCTACTCCAACAAGGCCACACCTTGTAATAGTGCCATTCCCTGGTAACCAAGCATTCAAATCCATGAGCCTGTGAGGGTCATTCTTATTCAGACAAGCACAAGCATCCACAACAGGCTAAGCAGACATTCATCTAAAGACTGAGTCCCAAGTTCAGCTAAGCATAATGTTTTATATCCCTCCACTCCCCTTGATTGTCCCTTAAGAGCAGCCCAGAGTGACATACATTTTGATTATCTATATTAAGCTTGTTTAATAGGGTTTTCTGAATTCCCCCATAAGCAGAGTACTTCCTCAAGGGGCAGAATTTCCCACAAGCCACTTGTACTACAGGAGGGAGAGGAGAGGAAGCTGGTTACAGCAGAGACACGGTGAGACAGCCCAACGGTGCTGAGTAGCTGTTGCAGATCTTTCCTGTTAGCATTCAGTGCCCCTTGCTATGGTGCATTATCTCTTTTGATGTCTCTTTTGCTTTGTTTTCCATTTTTCCTTCTTTTTACAGATTTTTAAAGGTATCAGCTCTGAAGAGACTGTGCAAAGTCAAGGAAGCAGGAGGCTGATCAGCTTCTCCCTCTCAGGTACATGTTGTTCACCTAGCCGCTTCATGCAGTGCATTAGCTGCTATCTGCTGCTGTCATAAAACACCATGACCAGTGACAAGTCAAAGAAGAGAGTGTTTATTTTGGCTTACAGTTCTAGGAGGACATGAGTCCATTATGGCGGGGTGCAGGCGTAACAGCAAGCAACAGGCATGGTGAGAGGATCAGAAAGCAGAGAGGGCTCATCACACACCATAAGCAGGAAACACAGAAGGAACTGGACATGGGACAAGGATTTTAAACTCTCAAACCCACCCTGTAAATATTTTCATTTCCTCAGATAAGAATGAGATGAGAGCCATTCCCAAGCCTTTCTGGCTGGTTCAATTCAGCTTTTCTGACCCAAACTTCTCTTCAAGATGACTGATTCAAATTAGCTTCTCTGGTCTTCTGACTGAATTGCCCTGTCTAACCTCATACTAATTCTGGCAATATGTTTTAATCTTTCAGCTCCTTCTAATTCTCTTGCTTGTTCTCTCTGAAACTTGTCTCTGTTGGGGAAGAACTCTTGGTTAAAAAAAAAAAACTCTCAATAAAAATTTTTCTCTCTCTCTCTATGCACTGCTCTTAACTAGCCTCTCTTTCATGTCCTATTCTAGTGAGACTTAGACATAACCTATCTCTGACTCATTTTGTCAATTCTTTTTCTGATTCATCACTTTGTCTGCCCCTCAATTATATGTCATTTCAAACATGGCTGCTTCCTTCTATAAACTAACTTTACCTTCATTGTTTGAGATTGAAGTATATACTAAAGATGTGTCTGAATTCCAGCTAGATCATACTGTAATCCTGAGTGTGTCTGCATTCCAGCCAGATCATATAGACCTAGAAGGTCTTTGGATGTAATCCCTTGCCAGAGCAGCCATGATGCTGGATTAAAATTCCTCTATACCATCCCATGCAAAGTACATCCTCCAACTGCACCTCATTATAACTTCTCCAGACAACAAAACCAACTAGAAACCAAGTGTTCAAATGTGTGAGCCTGTGGGGGACATTTCTCATTCAAACCACCATGTGCTGTGAACCAGTGTGTCAACCACTTTTACTTGTCTCTTACTTACAAGCTTCAAGTTATTCAACCTCTTTGTTCCTCATTTTCTTTACCCTCGGGAGAGAAGTAAAAGTAAAACGTATTCAATTCCCCTTGAATAAGGAAGAATAATGCAAATTCAGTCAGTAATAAATGCGGAAGTGTTTTGATGCTGTGTGAGGGGAAGTTTGTCTTAACAGCATCACTAAGAGTTTACCGAGGGCTTGTGAAAAAAAAACCCAAGGATAGCAGCAGCCATTTGATCCTACACAGAACTTCCCGTCAACCCACTTAGGCAGAGCAGATCAAAGTTGAGCCAGTCAAAACAGTACATTCATGGGAGAGGGGGAGTTAGTGGAATCCAAATGCAGTCCATTTTAATTTACTCAATTTAGAAATTAATAGTTGAGTGTTATGTGAAGCTTTTCCTGGGTAGATGTGAACAAAGGTCTGTTAACCATGGCAGAAGAATTGATGACAGATCAAAGGAACCATTCTACTGAAGTCAAGTTGGCAAATGAATAAGTTTATTGGGGTCACTTAAAAGACATGGACAACTCAGAGTCAGCCACATCACTGAAAGGCCTGCCTCATCGTGGATGACAAGTCAAAACATCTGCATCATTAGAGCCCTCTGCAGGATGCACAGGCAGCACAAGTTGGAGAGCCTTGTCCAAGAAGCTCCTCCGGGCTGAGATTCTCTTGTCCAGGCAGTTTTTTTTCAGCTTCCATGATCTCTGGCTGGCGTGCTTGTAGATCATGAATGTTTCAGCTCTGGAGAACTTGAAGTGCTGTTTGCTTCCTATGTGTCCCTTCCTCCTGCCTCAGGGAGGAAATGTTTCAGTTTGGAGGAAGTTGATAAACAGCAAAGAGTATGTTACTTTTTAGTCCATGTGGAGCTCCTGTCCTCTCCCAGTCATGTAAACTCCCCTTTTTATCATATGATTCCCTCTGCCAAAGGTTTGGTTATGAGTCTCCGCATCTGCTTTAATACACTGCTAGGTCGGGTATTTCAGAGGCCCTCTACGGTAGACTTCTGTCCTGTTACTTGTTTTCTCCTACTTCCCATGACCATTCCATTTGTCTTTCTAAGTGAGAACTGATCATCTTACTCCGGGTCCTTTTTCTTGTTTATCTTCTTTAGGTGTACATATTTTAGTATGTTTAGCCTATCTTATAGGTCTATATAAGTGAGTATATACCATGTGTGTCTTTCTGCTCCTGGGATACCCACTCAGGATGATCTTTTCTAGATCCCACCATTTGCCTGCAAATTTCATGATTTCCTTGTTGTTAATTGCAGAGTAGTATTCCATTGTGTAAAAGTACCACAATTTCTGTATCCATTCCTCTGTTGATGGACATCTGGGTTGTTTCCAGGTTCTGGCTATTACAAATAAAGCTGCTACAAACATGGTTGGGTGAATGTTTTCTTAACCAAAAGTAATAAATAAAGTGTTCTGAGTTAAATCATCTGCTGTTATCCATGGCATATAAATTCTATTATTCCAAGATGACAATTTCTAGCAATGAAATATAACTGGAACTATAACTGGCAACTAAAGAAGGAAGCCTAAAAATGTCAGAGATAGATAATATTTGTCATTAGGATATCCTTACATTCATTAAATTCACTCTGTCTATCTATGATAAAAGTAAATACTCTGCCAGAAAGAGGGCTCAAAAGTAAATATGCTTGGTACCATATCTAAGTTCAAACCCTAGGACCTACATAATGGAAAGAGAACCAACTCCCACAAGTTTTTCTCTGATATCCATACATGTTCCAGCTTGTGACACACGAAAGAAAGAAAGAAAGAAAGAAAGAAAGAAAGAAAGAAAGAAAGAAAGAAAGAAAGAAAGAAAAAGGAAGGAAGGAAGGCAAGAAGAGGAAATATCAAAATATTCTCCATGCCTCAAAGATAAACAAGGGAAAGGTTACCTAATCCATAACCAAAGGTGATAGTTTTTGTCAACATAAATGAATCTCCTTGGAAGAGAGAACCTGAATTGAAAAACTGCCTCCATCAGACTGACCTATGACCATGCTGTGGGGTGATTTTTTTTTTAATTGCTAATTGATACGTTGTGAGTGATGCCATGCCTGGCCAAGTGGGCTTGGGCTATCTTTTTGTCTAAGATTCCAAGCTGAGCAAGCAATAGTTAACAGGCCAGCAAGCAGCTTTCCTCCATGGTCCCTGCCTCTGCTACCACTTGAGTTTCTGCCTTGACTCCCCTCAATGATGGACTGTGATCAGGATATGTAAGCCAGGTAAACCCTTTCATCACCATGTTGATTTTGATTTGTGTTTCAAAATTGCAACCAAGAAGAAAGAACACTAAGAAAAGCCCACAAATATCACAAAGCTGACAAAGTGCAAGTTGGCTTTGAGTATAAAATAAGAGTTGAGGATTCTAACAGGAACCAGCTGGACAACCAAACTGGAGCCTGACAAACCAGGACTATAAGACTTTTGCATGAAGAAATAATACAAAATTTGACTTGAAGGGTGTATAGTAAAAAGAGTCAGAAGAATTGAAGAACATGCATTTGAAAGAGACACCTCTCTACAACATGAAATTATGTGTAATCAAATGTCTTAAGTTAGATCTGGCCAACATCCCCTCTTCTTGACACCATAGTTTCTAATAACTCTCATCATTGGTAAGTGCCTAGCTCCACAGAGGCTGTGTTTACTTTTCTCTGCTTTTTCAAACCCTTTGTTCTGTTTATCATTACTCAGTGAATCCATATTTATGGTAAAATCACTTCCCTTGGTTTTCTTATGTCTTGACCTTGAAAAACGACTTTATATCTTTGATCTAACATTCCCAGTTAGTTTTCTTCCATGCCCATCACCTCTGCTGACCCTCAACCTCTCACCCATTCCCTTCTTCTCAATTTGTTTGTGGAGCACCAGAAATCCAGGAGAAAAGTGTCCACAGTACCAGTTGAATTAATATATAACAAGGATTTCTTTCTCAAATACAACATATGACAGGAACTGTTCCAAATAATATTCTGTGTAGATAAACATCGGTCCTTGTTTGTACTGAGATGGGAAATAGTCTAAACATTGTAATAAAAAAGTTTCACATGTATATTACTTACTTTTCTATGGCCGTAATAAAATAATATGACCCAAAACAACTACAGACAAGTTATTTTGAGCTTATGATTCCAGAAAAGTAAGAGTCCATTATGAAAGGAAGGAAAGGCAGCAGGTGGATGGATCAGAAAGCTGGGAGATCACATCTTCAGCTATAAACACCAAACAGAGAGTGAACTAGAAGTAGGGTGAGACTATGAACCAGCAAAGCCTAGTGACATCTTGCACCTTCCAGAGTGTGCCCAAACAGTGCCAGTAACTGGGACAAGTATTTAAATATTTGCAACAATAGGGGGCATTTCTCATTTAAACCACCACATCATGTTTTGGATTGCTTGTTCTTGCACAGGACTTGTAGGTACCCAACCTCATTAAAACATACTTATATAAAATGTCATTCATTTTATAGATTTCCAGGCCATGGGATTGAAGAAAGGGATGTTTTTCAACCCAGACCCCTATCTGAAGATTTCCATTCAGCCTGGGAAACACAGCATCTTCCCGGCCCTCCCTCATCATGGACAAGAAAGGAGATCCAGCATCATAGGCAACACTGTGAACCCAATCTGGCAGGCAGAGGTGAGTGTTAGGGAGTGGGGATGCTGAAAGAAAGATGAAGGGATTATATTAAAACAAATGGTGATGAGCCCACCCCTGTGCTCATCTTCTGGTGGAGCATAGATTTTATTTTTAAACTCACGGCCATGAGATTCGGGCCTTAGTAGAGAGTTGTGTTCTCTGAGGGCTTCACCTCCAGGGTCTGAAATTACTGTCCCAGGCAGCATCAGGTACTGCTTTGTCCCTGCTACTTTGGTGTGATGGTAGAATGCCTTTGCTCCAGCCCAAGATTCAATCCAAGCATCCAGAGAGTAGAACAAAAACAAAAGCAGGAGGGCTGGAGAGATGGCTCAGTGGTTAAGAGCATCAACTGTTCTTCCAGAGGTTCATTTCTAGCACCCACATGAACTGACACCATCACAAAGACATACATGCAGGCTAAACACTAATAAACATAAAATAAAAAGAACCCAGAAGGAAGGAAGGGAGAGAGAGAGAGAGAGAGAGAGCGAGAGCACTCTTTAATAATTCATGACTGGGGCCCTAGTCAATGCTCAACACGAGCCAACCTTGATCTGAGCACCTCACAGTTTATACAGGGTGTTACAATCTGGCACAAGCTTTCATCTGCAAGTGATTTTTAGGTTCCTGCCAAAAGTTACATTTTCTGAGTAATTATCAATTAGAACATTTTTTCAGCTAACAAGATCTTTTACTTACTCAAAGAGCTACGGGAATCTGCTCTCAAAACCTACAGCTGTGGAAAACTGGCCCTTCCTCAAGGCTGTCTAGCAAATGTTTACCTCTCAGATAAGAGCAAGCAGTTTTGATGAGCAGTTGTAATAAGCAGAACTCAGTGGACTGTATCTAAACTTAAGTCAGAAGTGTAACTTTAATTCACTTTTTATCTTTTTTTGTTGTCTAGGAGACACTAGTTGGTGTGTCAACTATCTTAAAGTTATATCTAAATAGCAACTGAGGCAGAGCCTCAGCTAAATTTCTTATTCCAATGTAACTTAAAATTTTTTAAGCAAGTTTACTAGAAAAACCCTTTCACCACATTTAACCAGTCTTAGTTATATCTTTTTTTGCCACATGGCCAATAGCTTCTTTTCTGATCCAGAACAGGTGCCTACAAGCAGAAAAAGCACATTTAAATGTGTTTTCTCCACAGCTCTCTTCATTCTGTCTCAGCCAAGAGCTCCAAAATATAAATGTGCTCCTCTAGACAGATTCCAGAGATGCTAACTCCATCAGCTTCCTGAGATAGATAAATCAGTCATCTCTAGAATACTCCTGACTTGTTTACACATTGCTCAATTTAAGTAGATATTTTTTCAGCTCATGTTGGTGGTTTGGATAGTGGAATGCAGTTTGCTTACAGTATTGAATAGTTCATTATGTCAGTAAAGGACCTTCTCTCCTTCTAAGTGTGACTCCTCCACCAGCCAGTACTTAGGAGTTCTTTGACAAATCATGTGTTGTGCTGGGCCTCACAGTAATTCCCTCCTCTCCCAGAAAACATACAGGAACTTATCACAGCCTGATTGGCTCCTTGGCTCTCAGCTGATCACTGAAGAACACAACCTAAAGCACTTATATTAGGCATATTTCTTCCTTTATTATCCAAAATAGACCATCCCTATTACCAGTTTGGAATTTCCAAACACCATAGACAAGAAAGTGTAGTTAGATATTTGGAACCAGACCTGTTCCATTGTCTCCTGAGTTGTACCCATCTCATTGCTAAGTTTAATTACCCTTTTCCAGGCTCCACAGAAAGGTTTTCTAGAGCTTTGAAGTAGAAATGAAATAATGCTTGAGCTACTATTGACAGTTATGAACAGATTCTAAAACACTGAAAAGATCACTGCTATATAATACTGAATTTACAATGACATGTTCCTTCAATCCCAGATAGTCTCATCAATAATTTCTGAACTACCTACTACATTCCCAGGGATAACACAAAATGCTACAGCAATTAATTGTGTCTGAATAAAATGAGCATGTTTGCCTAATACACTTGTTACCAACATTTATAAGTCTTAGAAAACATTTTTAAAATTCACACTACCAGGATGGTTTGGGATTTAAAATGTCAACTAAGTGCCCTTACCATTATAAAATATATGCTTTCACTTCATAAGTCTTTGCTTAAAATTGCTTTTTCTCTGGCAATATATTGACAAATGCTCTTATTCTCTGCCCTAGGTTTATGCATTATGTTTAAAATGCTATCATTGGAATTAATTCAATAAATCTCATCAAAGAGCTGTAGCTTAGACTGACATCACTCACCTGTGCCTGGGGTTTTGGATTCCATTCCCAGCACCACAAAAACAAACAAAATGGAACATAGCCCCACAAAGCATCTGGCAACTCAATGCCAAGAAAATGCTGCTTCTGCACACACAGAAATCTCCAGTCCCTGGCAACTGCTGCCAAGTGGCACACAGGATAGATTTATCCATCTAACCAGATAGATTCTGCTTTAAAAACATTTGTGCTTGATAAGATCTAGATTAAGGGAAAGTGTAGACATTTTTTAATTAATTTTTTGAAAACCTAATATAATGTGTTTAGATCATATTCACCCCATTCCCAACTGTCCCCAGATCCATCATTTTTTCCTTGCCCACCAAACTTTGTGTCCTCCTTTTTCTTATGACCATCAAGTCCAGTTTGTGCTATCTGTACAGACTTAAATTCTCTGCCTCCGGAGTGTGGTTGACTACACTCAAAGAAAATTGATTTTCCCTCGCCCAGCAGCTGTCAATTGTGGATAGTTCCTTGACCAGGCATGAGACTTTGTGGCCCCCTCCCTTCTCCATGATAAGATTTAGCCTAGTTGAGCTTGATTAGGTCTCATTCATACTGTCATAGCTGCCATGTGTTCACGTGTGCGACTTCCTTCCTGTGTCCAGAAGACATTATTTCTTCATAGTCATCCACCACTTCCACAAGAAACCCTAAACTTTGAAAAGAGGGGAGGGGTGATGCAGATTTCCCTTTTGGAACTAACCCTTCTATGGTCTCTTATTCTCTACACCTTGACCAGCCATGGGTCTTTGTGTTAATCTCTATCCACAACGGTTAATGGTTAATGTTAACAGTGTACTAATCTGCGGGAATAACAAGTCATTCAGAGCTGGTTTATGACTACGTCAGGTCAGCAAAGTAGCAATATTAGGTTCCCTGACAGGGCTCGCGGCCTTTCTAGCCACCAGTTGTGGTGTTTCACCTGTGGAGCAGGCCTGAACTCTAATCCCAAAGCAGTTGGTTATCCTATGATGTCTGTTCCACTCTAGTACCACTGAGGATGCCTGGCCAGCCCAGTTGTCATTGTAGCTTATGGGGCTCACAATTGGGTGAACTGGTGATTACTTCTCTGCTCTGATGGGATGCATAACACCTTCCAGTACCATGAAAGCTAATGAGAAGGAACGAAGCTTCCAAGTCAGCACCAGCCTGACTTCTCTGTGTTCTAATACTTAAGTGTTTTGCCTTAAGCAATATGGTCAATGTTATGCTTTCTTGAAATTTCCCCCACCGAAAAAATTAGTCTACTACCACAGTCATGTTCTTAGGACATAGGCAGAAGGTAGCCAGATTTATTGCCAAAAATATCACAGAGATGGCTCCTAGCCCATTAGTTGCTATTGTTCCCTCCTTTAGATGGCTTTTCACAACCCACATTGTTTTCAGCACCACTGTCATCCAGGCTCTTGCTAGACTAGCATGGCCCTTTAAGCTTTGTTTACAGGATTCAATATCTTTTTTAGTCCAAATTCCCAGAGTCATCCATGCAAAACAAACAAACAAACAAAAACATGGTCGTGTTCTTAATAGAAACAGCTTACTCTCTGCTACCAACTTCGTGTTGCTTACTGCTCTATGGTTGTGTTAAAACACCATGACCAGGGCACCTCAGAGAAGGAAGAGTTTATTTGGGCTTATGGCTCCAGAAGGAGAGTTGATAATGGCAGGGGAGGCATGCCAGCAAGTAGTTCAGAGGCCATATCCTCAACCACAAACATGAAGCCAAGCATGCTAACTGGAAATGGGGCCAGGCTATCACCTCTCAAACTCTGCTCCCTCAAGGCTGTTTCTCCCCAGACCCAGCCAGGACAGCAGCACCAACTAGGAACCTACTTTTCAAATGCCTGAGCCTATGGGGCATTTTTTCTCATTCAAACCACCATAGTGTTATCCTAAATTTATGCTCTAATTATTTTATTGTCCTCAACCAAAGTATGAATGTTGGGGTAAAGAATGAGCTGTGTTTCTAGTTAAAATCACACCATATCCAATAGAAAATATAAACACGAATGAAATTTTCAAGAAAAAAAGAAATCTTACCAAAAATAGAGTCATTCCCCTCCAAAAGTATATACATAATATGAAATAGAACAAACCTACATATACACTCTCTCACCTTTTTTTGTAAAAATAAAAATTATTTCAAAGCTACTTAAGATTTCGGTGTGATATGAATAAGAATGCATTATTTTAATTTTGAGAGTGAGTCATCTGCACCAAAATTGGTTGTAAAATACTGGATAGGACTTATTCTATTTCTTTAGATTCTTTGCACATGTAAAGCACAGCATCAAGTGTCCTGCCTGGTTTTCCACAGACAAAACCAGGCATCTCTAGGTGAACTTCAGCACACGGGACACAGTGGCACAAAGGGGACAACTGAACTCCACAGCAACCTTCCTTGCACTGTGACCAAACACGTGGCAAGAAACAACTTAAGGAATTGGGTTATATTGTCTCACTGAGAAGAACACGGTCTGTTCCGGTGGGCAGGGCATGCCAGAGGGCCTGAGGCTTTGTCCACATGGCTATTGACATCTCTGAGGGTTGGGAAGCCAAGTTCATGTGCTGAAACACAGCCACTTTTAACATCCTAGCTCACACCCCATGGCCCTGCATCTGCCACGGAGGTCCCCATGCTACCCAACGATGAAGATGAAGCATTCAAGCACTTGAACCTGTGGGCGATGTTACACTTT